TCCCTCCAGAAGATAAGTAGAGAAAAGAAAAACTAAAAAACTTAAAAAAGAGAGAAGGAAAGAAGAAAGAAAAATGATCAGAGTGGATTAGCTCTGGCTCTCGAGCCCTCCTCTGCTGCCATCTTGAAATATGTGTATAGTTTTTAATAGATAGTCTTCAAAGAACTGTTGCTCTAAGTCATACAATTATACATTCCTTCAAGATGCAAAAAGTCAGTCACCTGTGGCTAACAAAGGATGTTCAGGATTGCATAAAATTAAAGTGAAAGGCCTACAAAGTTGCTAGAAATAACAATAATTGGGGATTGAAAGGCATATAAAATACAAAGGAGGACCAAGAAGATGAAGGAAAGGGAGAACAGTATGAATGCAATCAGCAAAAATTATACTAAAATACTGTAAAAACTTCTATAGGTATGTAAAAAGGAAATATTTGGCTCAAATATGGGTCTGTTAAAAGCAGAGTCAGGAGAGTTTATAATGGGATAGAGAGAAATGACAAGTTGAATGATTTCATTGTATGTATTCACTGGAAGAAATCTGGTAAGACATTTCCACTGCTTGGAGAGTCTGGGAGTCCCCAGGGAGCACAGTTTAAAAATAAAGGGGGATGTCACATAGGTCAGAGATAAGGATGAATTATTCTACTTAGAGGGTTGTGAACCTTTGGAATTCTCCACCACAAAAGGAGCTAGGGAGGCTCATTCTTTGATTATGTTTCAGGCAGAGATTGATAGATTTAACCTGTCGTGCACAAGGTTATGGGGATAGGAGGAGTTAAATAAATTGAAGTGTTTGATCAGCCATGATCATATTGAATGGTGATACAGGCTTGACAGACTGAATGGTCTACTTCTATTCCCATGTTCCTTGCAACTTGGATCCAAAATTCACTGACAGGAAACAGTAAGTGCTGACCTGTTGTTTTTAGATTGGAGGAAGGTTTATAGTGGAGTTCCCTTGCAGCTAGTGCCTGGATACCTAATCTCCCTAATATACATGATCTGAACCTTGCTATATAGGGTACAACTTCAAAACCTGGTGCTACTTGAATGCACTGTGAACTGTGAAGACAGTATTGAACTTCAAAGAACATAGATATGATGGTGGAATTGGTTGGCAAGTAGCAAATGAAACTTGTTGCAGAGAATTGTGAATTAATTGGTTTTGATTAGAAGAATGCAGACAGACTATATAAAATTAGTGGTACAACTCTCAAGTGAGTGGAGGAGCAGAGAGACCTAGTAGGAAAGGTGTACAAGTCCATTGAAGGTGACAAAGCAGGTTGATAGAGTGGTTAATAAAGCACAAGCCATCCTAGGCTTTATTAAAAGTAGCACAGGAGTACAAAAGTAGGGAAATTATGCTAATTGCAAGCCTCAGCTGAAGTACGTGTCGTTTTGGGCACTAAAATTTAGGAAAGATGTCAAAATATTAGACAGTGTACAAAATATTTACAGAAATGGTTCTGGGATAAAGAATTTAAGTTCTGTAAATGGACTGAAAAATTTGAGACCAAGGGAAAGTTCAGAGGAGATTTGATGCCTGTATTCAAAATCATGATCACTCTAGATGAAGTAGATTGGGAATAGTTTTTCCCTTCGGTAGAAGGATTAAGATCTAGACAGCCCAAATTTAAGGTAATTGGCAAAATAAGTAAAAGCTACATGAGGAAAAAACTTTCATGTGCCATGTGGTTATGATTTTGAGTAAACTGCTTGAGTGTGGCAGAGGAAGGGCCAAATAACACATTCAAGGGAATTGAATTATTATATAGAAAGGAAGAATGTGCAAGGCTATGGTGAGAAGGCAGGGGAGTGGCATTTGGGTGTCACTTATCCAGAGAGTGGTGCAGACACAATTGGCCAAATAGCTATCTCCTACACAATAACATTTTAGATTCCATAAACATCAATGCTTGGATCCCAGTTGTTAACACTCCATTTCAAATACTTAAACCAGACAATTAAACGTAGTATACTCAAGTTTACTTGTGAGACAGCAGGTTCTTGTGCTGCAGTGTTAATGTCCCTATCTCTGAGCCAGAAGACTCAAAGTTCAAGTTTCACTTGCTTCAGAGATATGTAATAACCTATAAAAGGTTAGCTGTATAAATTAGACTGAGGAGAACACAAAAACGGTTTAAGGCAATTGAACACAGCAGAAGTAGAATAATTGCAGAAAAATGTGAAGCTGCCTGGGGAAAAATACAAAAACTTTTCTTTTAAATTATAAGCAAATGGAAAGCATTACCATTCAGAGGGACCTCGGTATCTTTGTACATGAATAAAATGATATTGTGCAAATAAAACAAAGTAATTAAGAGAGAAACAATGTGTTGGTCTTTATTACAAAGGGATTAGCATACAAGTAAAAAAGATGTGGTAATTGCAAAGGGTTGATACAACACCATTTGGAGTACTGCACATATAATTGGTCTTCTCAAACAGGAAAGAACATAGTTGCCTTACAGAAGTGCAACAAAGGTCACCAGATGATTTCTGGGAGGAGGGGGTTGTCTTTATACTTTTATCTTTTTAGATTTCCAAAAATATGACATGACCTTATTGAAACATCATTCTTAAAAAGACTTGATAGGATCATACAGGAAAGATGTTTCCTCCTCTGGAAAACCTAGAACTAGGAAAAGTGTCAGAATACGGGATCAGCCATTTAGGGCTGTGAGAAGCTGAATTTTCTCCACACAAAAGTTTGTGAACTTTTGGAATTCTTTATTACAGAGAACTATGGATTATTGATCAAGTATATTCAAAATCGGAAATTGACAGATTTTTGGACACAAATGGAATCCAGGCATATAGGGCAAGTGAAGGAAGATATAGCTGAGGTTAAAGGTAGATAATAATCCATGATCTTACTGAATATCACAGCATTATATCTATCTGTTCAAATAAACAATGTGCACTTAAATTGTTAAATTCTCCTTTCTGCTTTACATTTTCGGTTATCCTTGCACACAATCTTCCAGTAGTATAGTGTAGCATACATAAGGAAAGAGCCTGAATATGAACTCTGAGTGAATGAGAAATGACATACATGGAAGGATGAGAAGGAGAGACATAATTAGAGTGAAAAAACAGCAAAAATGATGCCCAAAGAGAGGCTTTTTTCCCCCAAATTCTGTCAGGGAATAATGCCAAAGATAAATTGTTGGAAAACTGACCCAAATCCATATGTGTAAGTCTTAGAACCAAACCTTTTAGAAGGAGGATTTCAGCACGGGCATCTCAATCATTTCCATTTTTACTCCGGAAATATGAAGCATCCCAAAAGCTAGTTAACATATCATTGGTTTACTCAAACCACTTTGAAGTACCCACTTTGAAGTTGTTATATAGATAAAATCAGCATAGTTCCAGAGGACCATAGGCCTGCTGTCTCATTAGAGAGCGATAACCGGTGGTGGTTTAACCCGAGGGTCACCACATTATCAGGTGAGGGGAGAGGTGGAGAAGCCGAGTCCTTTATGGTAACCTCAGCCAGTGTGGAAGTTGACCCTATGCTGTAGGCATCACTCTACATTGCCAACCAGTTGTTCCAGTCAACTGAGCTAACAAACCTCCTGTTGCACAGATAATACTTCTGAGAGATAATGTTGAAGTTGCATTTGCTCCACCCAACCTGATGATGTCACACAGCCTTTGGGTGTACAGCCATTTAATCTTGCATGAGATCCTGATGGAGACATCAGGAGACTGGTGTATCACATTTAGTTACTGTAGTGTATTGAAATCTAAGCAACCTGTGATATTAAGATGGAGTGTTATCTGGCAGTTTTAAATTATAAAGCATTTGGCCTCTAATATAACTTTCTGTTTCTTTTAAACTTTTCAGCAATGAAACTCAACATGGACATCTGGTAACCAAATTGAAAGCAGAGTCTACAAAATGTAAAATTAAACTTTTAATTTCTATTACATTTTATTCAACAGAATAATTCCATACAAACAAAACAAAAACATTTTTAGAAATTCAAAAATTTGTTCAGCTGCCTAAATGCTTTGTGTGTCGCCCTTGAGCTAGGAGTTTTCCTGTGACTTTGCTTGTCAAATCCACAGTTGTAAATGCGAGAGATTTACCTTCCTTTAGCACCTTAGCAGTTATGATAATATCCTCTCCCAGTTTAGCTGCATTCATGTATCTAAGAGGAGTAATAACAAGTCACACAATAATACATTTCCAGCTATCAAGAAAACTAACATCGTTATTGGATATTAATGTTAACTTTTAAAAAGTTAAAAATAAATAAAAACAATTTCCACCAACATTCATGCCATTTTCTAGATAGTAAACCAGGGTACTCTGACAAGTAAATATCTTAAGCAAGGACATGCTACATGTTTCTCTTTACTTGATCTACCTGTTGTACCTGATCAACACGAAAGTGAAATCCACACAGAATAGTAGGTGGATTAAAACGTCTGCTTTTAAAAGGGTTGCTTTTCAGACTAGAGGCCTGTGACCAACAGTGGGCTGCAAGCACCCTGCTGGGTCCGGTTCTTTTTGTCATTTATATAAATGATTTGGACATGAATATAGGAATATGGTTAGTAAGTCAGCAGATGACACCAAAATTGGTGGTGTAGTGGAGTAGAAAAAAGGTTACCTCAGAATACAATGGGATTTTGGTCAGATAGTCAAATGGGCTGAGGAGTGACAGATGGAGTTTAATTTAGATAAACGTGAGGTGCTGCATTTCAGCAAGGCAAATCAGGGCAGGACTCGGAGGGGGTGATGATGACCTAGTGGTATTATAGATAGACTCTTAATCCAGAGATCTAGATAACATTCTGGGGATCCTGGTTTGAATCCCACTACGGCAGATGGTGAAATTTGAATTCAATAAATATCTGGAATTAAGAATCTAATGATGACTGTGAATGAATTTTCAATTGTCAGAAAAAACCCATCTGGTTCACTAATGTCCTTTAGGGAAGGAAACTGCCATCCTTACCTGGTCTGGCCTATATGTAACTTCAGACCCACAGCAACGTTGTTGACTCTTAGCTGCTCTCTGGGCAATTAGGGATTGGCAATAAATGCTGCCTAGCCAGTGACGCCCTCATCCCGTGAATGAATTAAAAATAAACTTATACATGTAATCTTAAGGTCCTGGGAGTGTTGCCTAACAAAGAGACCTACGGATGTAGGTGCATAGCTCTTTGAAAGTGGAGTCGCAGGTAGACAGGATAGTGAAGAAGGCATTTGGTACACTTGCCTTTATTGGTCAGTGCATTGAGGTCATGTTGAGGGTCTACATGACATTGGTTAGGCCACTTTTGGCATATGTATTCAATTCTGGTCTCCCTGCTAAAAAAAGATGTTGTGAAACTTGGGCGGGTTCAGAAAAGATTTACAGGGATTTTGCCAGGATTGGAGGGTTTGAGCTATAGGGAGAGGCTGAATAGGCTGGGGCGATTTTTCCCTGGAGCATCAGAGGCCGAGGGGTGACCTTATAGAAGTTTATGAAAGGCGCAGATAGGGTGAACAGCCAAGGTCTTTTCCCCGAAGGTAGGGTGTCCAAAACTAGAGGGAATAGGTTTAAGGTGAGAGAGGAAAGATTTAAAAGGGATCTAAGGGGCGAATTTTTTATACAGACGGTGGTGCATATATGGAATGAGCTGCCAGAGGAGGTGGTGGAGGCTGGTACAATTACAACATTTAAAAGGCAACTAGGTGGGTATACGCATAGAAAGAGTTTAGTAGGATATGGGCCAAATGCTGGCAAATGGGGCTAGATTAATTTAGGATATCTGGTTGGCATGGATGAGTTGGACTGAAGGGTCTGTTTCCATGCTGTATATCTCTATGACTGGTTATACCCATGATTCTCATCCATTGGCAGCACAGTGGTTAGCACCGCTGCCTCACAGCGCCAGGGACCCGGGTTCAATTCCACCCTCGGGCGACTGTCTGTGTGGAGTTTGCACATTCTCCCTACGTCTGCGTGGGTTTCCTCCGGGTGCTCCGGTTTCCTCCCACAGTCCAAAGGTGTGCAGGCTAGGTGGATTGGCCATGCTAAATTGCGTAATGTTCAGGGATTTGTTCATTAGGTGGGTTGTAGGGGGATGGGTTCGGGTGGGTGCTCTGAGGGTCAGTGTGGACTTGTTGGGCCGAAGGGCCTGTTTCCGCACTAAGGATTCTACGATCTAAACATTGTACTATTCACTTTATTCTTAAAAACCTTAAGAAGGTGGGTTCAAGTCCAGCTCCAGACTTCAGGACATTATGTAGGCTGACATGCTCAATACAATACTCAGGAATACTACTCTGTCTGTTTTTGAATGAAACATTGAACCAAGGCCCCATGTGCCCTTTCAAATGTATGTGATAGATCCCTGGGTGCTATTCAAAGGCAGGCAGGCAGGCAAGTCATTGGATAATATTTAGCCAAACAAACGTTATCACTCAATCAACAAAATATTTAAACACCTGTCTCATTGCTGTTTCTGGGAAATTGTTATGTGCAAATTGGCTGCAGGGTTTATAACATTAAATTACTATTGGGGTTAATTAGAGAGGACTTTCAAGACCTCTGAAAAAAGTGTCAATTGACTTCCTTCCGTGTAATGTGAATCTAGGCTCTGCAGTTTAAGCTCTAATCTCTAGTAATGAACAAATCTCTAGTAATGAAATATCCTCGCATCACTACTACATTTTACATTTGATAAAATTCCTGTATATAAGTTGGGGGTTGGTTAACTCAAATGGCTAGAGTGTGGTGCAGAGTGATACCCATGGCATAGTACATGGTCTTTCATAGAGGTCTGCCTGACTGTTTCGCACCATATGAAGTGGTAATCCTTCAGGCTATATACTCAACTGTCTCTCTATCTCTAGCAGAAAGTGATCCCTACAATCCTTCATGAACTATGCCTACCTGTTATTTATATAAATTATTGGCACTGAATTTACTTGCTTTGCAACAAGGCTTCAATATTACTACTATATTACCTACACAGCTTAGTTACATTTACCAAGTTCTGAAAACTGCACTCACGTTACATTCATGTCTACACTAACTCCTGGTAGCGCTCGCTCTGTATTAAGTAAGGCTGTCGTTGATACAACATCAACAAGAGTTGCGGTTAGTCCTCCATGCAGAGTGCCTGCTCGGTTCACATGTTCCTGCTCCACCTTCATTTCGCAGACTATTTTCCCAGGACAAGCTGAAACAACAGTCATCTAGAAAACACAATTGTAGTTCCATGAAAATTAGTTTGCTTTTAAAAGTATTCTAAAGCTTAGGACATTGGTAGCTGAAACCAGAACCAGCACTGATGGAGTGATTAAGATCAGAAATGCTGAAGAATTAGAGGAGCACTGACAACTTGGAAGGTTGTGAGGTTGGAGGAGACTATAGACAAAGCGAGTGGTGAGGCCATGGAAGAATTTGAAAACAAGGATGAGAATAGTGAAATCAAGGCATTGCTTAACCGGGAGCCAAAAAACACATGTGGGGTGATGGCTGATAAGGTCCTGGTGCAAGTTAGGATGGCAGTGTTTTGGATGAGCTTTTGTTAATAGACGGTAAAACCTTGAAGGAATCACAAATGATCTTGAGTTTTAGATGAAGTCATAAATCAAAGGGGCCAGATGTGTACAACTTTAAAAGCTTGACAGTGATTTGCAGCTTTACTTATAGCCTACAGCCTTTTTACAATTTATGGTTTCAGTTTTATGTATAGGTTTCCTCAGCTTGTTTACGCATCTACTTTTAGGACCTCAGTTATTCCAATGCTGATGACTACTGACAGTGTTACCTTTTAGACAAGATGTATTACTCAGTAAATGGTGTGACCAGATGTGGGCAGAATTTTGCCATTAAGACAGTATCTGGTTTCAGAATCTCCACAATGCATTGGCTGTCACAGCAAACAAGACATCAACAGAGATCATCCCGCAGCATCAACGAGGGACAGCTTTGTCCTTCCAGAATCATTTTGCTCAATAATCCAAAAAATGTGCTCATCCAACTGATTTAAAGTTCTAAGGTTGTAATCCCATTATCTTTTGCAGATGGAAAGATACCCATCAATGTACAAATGCAGCAATTCCATGAAACCCATGGGAAAATAAAGAAAGATGCCTTTTTCAAAAACATAATGGTGGTATGGCACAAATTATCCAGCAACTTATTCATAACTCATGAAGCACCTCTTCCCTGCTACAAATCCAATTTTCACATAAATATTGCCATATGTCCCTGTTGTAACATGATTTTTCAGCCAATTCCAGCCAATCTGATATATGTTTCTAGTTACACCTAAACTGGAAAGGCACCAATATCCTGGCAGGGAGGTTTGATAGTGCCACTCAGGAGGGTTTAAACTAGTGTGGCAGAGGGGTGGGAACTGGAGCAGCAGGGATAGAGATTGAGGAAGAGCTTGAGACTAAGGCAAATATAGCTAAGAGGCAGAGCAGTCTGGGAGAGGTTGCTGAGCTCATTGGAACTGGAGGCTTGGGCTATATTTGCTTCAATACAAGTAGTATAACAGTTAAGACAGATGAACTTCGAGCCTGGATTAATGCCTGCAATTACAATGTTGTTGCTATCATAGAGACATGGTTGAAAGAGGGACAGGATTGGCAGCTTAACGTTCCAGGATATTGATGTTTTAGACAAGACAGAGGAGAAAGCTAAAGAGGTGGGGGAGTTGCATTACTGGTTAGGAAGCATATCACAGATGTATTGAGGGAGGACACCCTGGAGGAATCTTGCAGCAAGGCATCATAGGTAAAGCTCAGGAATAGGAAAGGTGCAATCACAATGCTGGGATTATACTACAGACCTCTCAGCTGCCAGTGGGAGATGAAGGAAGAGATGGGTAGTCAGATTCTGGAAAGATGTGCCTGGATTTGGCCAAAATGTCTGATACCCTCTGCCAATGCTCAAGTCTCCAATTATCCCAGTGTGGCTTCAGCCTTCCTCATGGACAGTGCCAGTTTCAATTCCTTGGCCATCTGCTCCATCTCAGCCAGGCACCTTTCAACCTCTTATGCTTTGACTTGATGCTTGAGCTGTGGAAGTATGCTGGCTACGCCAGAAATGTAATATGAGATTTGAACTCATAGAAGGCCCCAAAAGATTATGAAGCTACAATTCTTTATTCCACTGACATCATACTATTGCAAACATGAAAGAATTGTGTGAGTAAATAAGAAAGTATTTACATGAATCGGACCTTTTGGTTTACACTGGGTTGAGGAATTCTTTGACTGCTCCTTCCTCCCATTAGCTCTCCTTCCCTCAAATATCTCCCTTTCTTTTCCAGAGAGGGTCAATTTAAACTACCCTCCTTAGCCATCGCCACCTGCAGCTGGAGGTTCCATTACACACTCTTTCATAATTGTGTCCCTAACCTATGGCTATTCAAACTCGATTCTGATGAAAGGTTACAGACCTGAAAGGCCAGTCCTGGTTTTCTCTCTGCATCAAATGCTGCTAGATCGGATAAGTATTTTCATTTTTGTTGTTGTTTTCACTGCTGTTCAAACTCAGTGGCTTTGCAGCCGCCAGGGGGAGGTTTTCATTCCCATCCTGTCCCAAAGGTAAAAGGGCATTGTGTTCCCTAATGCATAAAAGTCGCGACTTATTTTAAAAAAGGTGACGTTTACACCAGCTTTCAGTGCTGGGTAAAAGGTTCTGTTAAATATGCCACCACATAAAACGCAGCCCGTGAACGTAAAGAAACTGTATCCGTGCAAATGTTTCAGACATGATGCAGTAAATGATCCCAGATCATTTCTCCCTAAATCCTATCAATGCAGACTGCTTGCAACTCCAATTATTGATCGAACTGTGTGAAAGTACGGCAAAAAAAAAAGCTAAATCCAGGCCTCCTCTTAAGAGATAGGGGTTTGGTATGTGGTGGTTTTTGTTAACTTCCGAAATATCTTTGCTAAGACTCTTGCTTTGATACACTAAAGACTTTAAAGCTGTCAGGTAGGTACCTACCTTATTCAAAACCCGATCGAAGCCGGTTCCTCCGGTCATACCCTGGACGAACTGCCTTAGAGTGTTCAAGGACGAAGTCGTCATGGTTTGAAATCTCCTCCCGGTTGAAGGTGGTAGCTTCACGGAGCAAAGGAAGAGTCGCTGCGAGGCCTTTACTTAACAGCAGCTGATTGAGCAGCTCCTCCCGTCCACCAGATCCACACACAGCGCCAACACCGGGCTTGAGTACTCCCTCTGCTCACCCTTGGTTCCTTGCTGCATTTTCCTTTTCGAACTGAGTTTCAGTATCTCCCTGTCCACAGATTCCAAGGCGATTTTTTTTTTCTTGCATGTTAATTTAAATATATTGATTTCTTTTTACAGGAGAGTAACAGAAGTTTTTCTTGTCCTATAAAACTTCTTAAAATTATCTGTTTTGCATTGCTACCTACAATTTCGTCACTCACCACAGAAGTTTAAACAGAAAAGCAAAAGCGTTACCCTCAGGACAATTGTCCTCATTTTCCAAAGACAGTCCCCAGATGAGATATAGCCTTTCACACACCTCATCACCAACGAATACCCTAATCCAGTGCTTCCTAAACATTTCACCATCGTCGCCCCATTTCAAGGCTTGAAAATTGTCATGACTTGGGAGAGGCAGGTGGTGAGAGGGGAATGAGAAAACACGGGACAGCAGGCAGGGAAGGGTTCGCCCATTCTCCACATTGGGAAGTACTGACCTAACAGATCCACGTGGGTTCAAGTTAGGAGATATGTGACCCTCAGCTGCCCTGTGATGATTTAATAAAGAGGGCGGGGTGTGTTCCAATTGGTGAACAGGGTATTAAACTTCTGTTTCGAACTAGTATAAGGGCAGGCTCACCAAGGGGCTTTATTGTGTATAGAAATTGTAGACGGTGAACGCAGTTCAACATCCGTAGCCCACCCTCCATCAATTCCCTGACAGTCCATGGATTGTGCACAATTATCCTGTGAATTTTGGTCGAAGAGAGAATCTGGTTGACTTAACTAGAAAGACCTGCACCAAAGTCACTACAGAAAAGTTAAAAAAAAAGAATAAAATGAAAGAAACATAATATAAAATAAAGAACTGCAGATGCCGGAAATCTGAAACAAAAAACAAAAATTGCTGAAGAGGTTCAGTGGACTCAAATGGAAAGAAACACTAGGCATTGACCTAAGCACTGGAAGTGACAGGAATGGACAACCTAGTAGCCACCACAAAGTCTTCCTCATCAATATTGAGGGCTTGTGCCAAAGTTAGGAGTGCTATCCCACAGGCTAGTTCTGGCAGCATACTAACAAAGACATCCTTACCAAAACGTAAGTGGCAGCCAATGTCCAGGCATCTTCATCACCATCTCTGGGTTGATCCCATTGGCAAAACAGACCAACAGGCATGAGTTTCCTTGGGAGTCCACAACATGGCCTCCAGATCCTATGAAGTAGAAACAAAGAAGCATGGGAGCAGGACTAGTCCATTCAGTCCCCTTGAACCTGCTCTGCCATTCTAGATCATGGTTGATCATTCAACTCAGTACCCTGCTTGGCCAACCATCCAGCCAGACAAAATATCCTTTCTGCATTCACCTTGTAAATCCTTCTAAGACTTTTGTAAGTTTCAATGTAATTACTTCTCATTTTTCCAATCTTTGAAATATACAGGCCCAGTCTCTCATTCTTTCCTCATAGGAGAGGCCTGCCATCCCAGGAATTAGTCAGGTGAACTTCTATTGCACTCCCTCTGTGACAAGTATATTTATCCTTCGATAAGGAAATTAATATAGCACAAAATACTCCAGCAGCAGTCTCATTAATGTTCTATACAGTGGAAACAACATATCTTGACACCTGTATTCAAAGCTTACTATGATAAAGGCCAACATATAATCTGTCTTTCTAATTGTTTGTTGTACCTGCATCAGGTGGGCAAAGAAATCTCCTGCTAAGTATCATCTACTGTCCTCAGCTGATGAATGGGCACTCCTTCATATTGAACATCACATGGAAGAACAATTGAAGATGGTAAGGGCATAGGATATATTCTAGATGTGAAACTTCAATGTCCATCATCAAGCATGCCTTGGTAGCAGTGCTACTAACTGAGCTGGTCGTGTCCTGAGGGACTTATTTCCTAGTCTGGATCTGTGGCAGGTAGTGAGGGAACCAACCAACAACTTAGGAACATAGAAGCATAGAATATAGCAGCAGGAGTAGGTCAAATTGGGCCCTTTGGCCTGCTCTGCTGTTCAATATGATTGTGGTTGATTATTCATCTCAATACCCTGTTCCTGCTTTCTCTTCATATCCTTTGATCACTTGAGGTCCAAGCAATATATTTATCTCCATTGTTAACCTACCTATTGAAGATGCATTTATCCATGACAATAGTGGTAGGAATGACCACCAAACAGTTCTGTGGAGATACAGTCCCATCTACAAACTGAGATATTCCATATTTATTTGTGTTCCTACCACTATACTAAATGGGATTGATTCAGGACAGAACCAGCAGTTCCAAACTGAATATCCTGAGGCACTGTGACCCACCAAAAGCAGCAGAACTATTTTCAACAACAATCTGTAACTTTATGATCTAGCATATCCCCCACTCTACTATTACCATTGAGCTAAATGGTCAAGTGTAGTTCAATAAAGAGTGCAGGGGAGTTGCCCAAATACCTAAAAATGAGGTGTTAACCTGGCGAGTATACATACAGACTACGCATGTTTCAAACAGAGGAATGACATATGATAGACAGAGATAAGTAATCCCACAACAAATGGATTAAATCAAAACTCTGCAGTCTTTCCACATCCATGTCAATTGTTGTTAAACAACTAACCTGGCACAGAGATTCCAAACATACCCATCCTCAATGATGCGTCAGTGTAAAAGACAAAGTTGAAGCATTTGCAGCCATCTTATCACTGATATCCATTTTAAACCCACTGACTCCCACAATTACCTTGCCTATACCACCTCTCACCCACTGTCCTGCAAAAATGCTATCCCACACTCACAATTCCTCTGCGGCATCTGCTCCCAGGATGAGGCATTCTACTCTAGGACTTCCCAGATATCCTCCTACTTTAGGGACCGTAGTTTCACCTCCTCTGTTGTTAAGGATGCCATCAACCACATCTTCCCCATTTCCTGTGCTTCTGCCCTCAAACCATCTCCCCCAACAACAATGGTAGAGTTCCCTTAAATCCTCACATACCACCCCACAACCCTCTGAATACAATGTATCATCCTCTGACATTTCTGTCACTTACAATCAGACCCCATCACCAAAAAGATATTTCCCACCCCATCCCTGTCTGCTTTCCGCAGGGACCGTTCACTCCGCGACTCCCTTGTCAGCTCCACACTCCCCACCAATGCCTCCACCACACCCGGTACCTTTTCCTGCAATTGCAGGAAGTGCTTTTTCTGCCCCTACACCTCCCCTCTCACCTCCGTCCAAGGCCCCAAACAATCCTACCAAATCCAGCAGAGATTCACCTGCACTTCATCTCACCTCATCTACTATATCTGTTGCTCCTGATATGGTATCCTCTATATTGCGGAGACCAGACACAGACTCGGGGCCTAGTTTACAGAGCACCTGCACTCTGTACACACCAACCAACCCGAACTTCCAGTTCCCATCCACTTTAACTCCCCCTCCCACTCCCCTGGTGGCAAGTCCATCTTTGGCCTCCTCTACTGTCAGAATGAGGCCAAACGTAAACTGGAGGAACAACACCTGATATTTTGCCTTGGGAGCTTACAGCCCAATGGCCTGAATATTGACTTCACCAGCTTCAAATTCTCTACACCCCCAACTTGTCCATCTTCTGACTCACTATCCACTCTACCCTTTCCACTGACCAACTACAATAACCCCCTACCTGCATCCAACTATCTCCATCCCACCTACCCTCCCCCCAGCCCCTCCCTCTATTTATTTTTTGGCCCAACACATAGACTTCCCTGCTCCTTGAATGCTGTCTGACGTGCTGTGCTTTTCCAGCTCCACATTTATTGACTTCAGCCGGACATTCCAAGTAGATAATCCATCTCAACCTCGTCCTGAGGTATTGCAACGTCATAGATACCAGACCCCAGCTATGATTCACTCAATGTGATCTCAAGAAATGTTTGAAGGCACTGGATGTTGAAAAAGCTATGGATTCTGACCTTATTTCAGCAGTGGTACTGATAATTTGACCTTCAAATCTACCCACACAACACTAACTTGTACTCCAAGTGATTGCCCACAAGGCAGCAGTTTATTGAGGGTGGCAACAAGGAACCCTAGCAAAATTGAAGTAAATGATAATCAGGGGAAATCTCTCAATGTTTGGAGTCATTTTTAGCAGAAATATAAATAGTTGTGTTTGTTGGAGGCTGATCACCACTGCCTAAGGATATCACTGCAGGAGTTTCTCGTGGTAATATCTGAGGCTTAACCATCTTCAGTTGCTTTATCGGTGACCGACTCTCAAATGTCAAATCAGAAGTGGGGATGCCTGCTGATGATTGCATAATGTTCAGTGCTAGTCAGAACTCGTCAGATTCTAAAGGAGTTTATATTGATATACAGAAAGGACTCTTAACCATCTCTCCTTTATATCCAACAACATTACCTTGCTGAATTCCCCACCATCAATATTCTGGGTATTATCATTGACCTGAAACTTACTGTGAATATAAGAGGATAGATAGAAGGTTGGGAATTTGGTGGTGAGTAATTTATCTCCTGCCTCCCCGAAGTCTGTGCACCAACCACAAAGCAGGAGGGTGATGGAATACTCCCCATTTGCCTTGATTGCTGCAACCCAAACAACACTCAAGAAGTTTGACACCATCTAGGCTGAAGTACCCCACTTGATTGACACTCCATCCACCGCTTCAAACATTCACTCAGTCCTCCACAATGCATTTTGAGAATAATTTCTACCAAATACAAACTGTACTACAGCCATAACCAAGACACTTAGACAACACCTTTCAAACTCGCTCCACCAATCAGACACTGTTTCTCTCCTGCATTTTCTGCTGATAGGCTCATTAATGAGAAATGACCTTGGATTGGAGATAAAAGAGTAAAATCGCTATAGCCCTACTGGACCATAAGGCTGCTCTCTCATATTGAGAGACAATTAACTACAAAAGTTGGAAGTTATGCTTCAGTTATGTAGTGCACTGGTGAGATCACATAAAATGTATAGTATTGTAAATGTATTGGAAGCAATTCAAAGGAGGTTTACCAGTTTAACACATGGAGTGAATGGTTTTTTTGTGAGGAGGGGTTGGACAGGTTATGGTTACATCTGCCGATGTCTTGAAGAGTAACACATAAGATGGTGAAGGATCTTGGCAGGGTGGATGTGGAGACCATGTTTCCTTTTATAGGGCAATCTAAAACGAGGGATCACTGTTGTTTACAAGAATGGTTCCAGGGATGAGATACTTCAGTTTTGAAGAAAGATTGTGGAAGTTGGGAACATTTTCTTTGGAAAGGAGAAGGCCAAGAGGAGATTTGATAGATGTTTTCAAAATCATAAGGGATCTGGACAGGGTGGATAAGGAGCATCTTGTTTGTATCCAGTTGTTGTTCCTCTTATTGTGTTATTGCCTTCCACAGTCTTTCTTCACGCCCAATATGTTTTAATGTCTTTTACCAGACAAAATCAGATAATTATAAGGTATGAACAAGTTGGGAATAAATTTTTCATATATATATGTGTGTGTATTATACATACGCAGCTGCATTGCATACTCATTAGGCTTTTTTGACACAATGTATTTGTAGGCAAATCAGGTTACATAGGGGCTTCTCAACTATCTTCAGGCTCCACTTAACGCAAATTTGTGGGCAGACCCCTGTGATTCAACTGATGATGATGTCTGTTAAATAAAAAAGACAAAACCAGAAGTACCAACATGGATTTCAAAAAATATTCCCATGATTAATAATTTCATAGGATTTTTTGAGGAGGTAACAGTAAATGGAGAATGTGGCTGTACTATATATGAAGCTTAGGAAAAGATTTTGACCAGGCATCAGACAGTATTTCAGTGGGTAACATTAACAGGCACTAAATTCAAGAAGACAGCATACATTAAAAATTAATGAGACGGGAGAGAAAAGCTAGTAAACAGTTTTGTGGATAATTGAACTCGAACACAGCTAGAAGTAGACAAGAGGCGGAGTTTTCCTAGGCATTGAATGATATGGGCATTGGTCAGAAAGTTGGAAATAGTTCATGAGATGGGTGGGTGAGGAGATTCTTGACATTGGGAATCAAAAGTTCCATTTTCCAACAAAAGTATTGAATGGCAAGAAAAGATTTTCGTCAATGAGCTGTTTGTATGCATTAACATCTCATTATTAGATAATCTTGCCTCATTGATATCTAGTTTCTCATTCTTCCAGCTGCCAATATAAACTAGATGGTGACAATTTATGAGACGAAAGTAAGATCAGTTAGCTGGTGACTTCAGCTTGCTGTTTGCTCTTCCAGCCCTCCATCTGGACACCAGTCACGAACATGTCAGGGGACATTCATGGGCAGCTACCACATATACGGACATTAGCAATATGAGGCATACCAACTCACATCTCCAATATGCTTATAGTACACTTCTGCAAATCAATGCTGCACTGTGTAGTGCACTGGCAACTTTCATTGGAATGCTGCCATTAAGACACTTTGCACACAGGGATAGGTATTCACCTCATGTCTTGGTCGAGGCCGCATCACAGAGATCCTACTTTGCTCTCTTAGCACTCACTTACTGTGTGACTGCTTGGATGTCACAGCTTTTTTGTCTTGACTTGCCTTGCCTTTTCGTGCTTTGCCTCCTCAACTAGAGCATACAGACTCACAGCACTTATGTCTTCACTCTTTAGTGCCACCCCTAGCAACAGTTTCCTTGAGCAGTAGCACAGCCTGGATATTAGACAGCACCCTGTCCTAAGGAATGGTCACCTTTTCCAGCAGCTTATTGAGCTCCTTGTTGTTGCACATGG